GGCCAGCAAGGCAGCCCGAGGCCTGAGCGAGGACGCTTAGGGACGCTTAAACGGGGCTACCCCGCTGCAGTGGAAATGTGCCATTACTCTGTCAATAATCCTGCAAGAAAAGGTTCAATCTCCTTATATTTAGTATACACAAAGCTTTGAGTGTTTTGTATTGCATTTGGTGGTTTGGATTGGATGAGGACGACGGTGGCACAACACAAATCCACAGTCCCACTAAAACGTTCTGAAAAATAAGGTCTACTTTAATTGTCCAAAACTCTTCTCCACCTGTGTGTGTGTGTATGTGTGTGTGTTCAATAAAACTGCTGAGAGAAACTGTCTGGTTTAGTTATTAGTGTTAGTGACACATGGGCATACACACAAAGCAGGGGTTAAAGGCATGTTACAGGGTGTCCATGCAGATACCTGGCATTTTTTCTGCTGGAGACAGATGTCAAAAAGTATAAAAAACTGGTGACTGTACTAGCTGGTGTGTCTTTACTGAAGTGTTGCTGAGACGGAGCATGACGTTTGGTGTTTGAGAAGTATGTCCCAAAGACACCTACAGGTCCTCAGTTAAGGTTGAAAGATTTAGATATAGTACGTGTCCCTTAATCTCCCACTAAGGCATCTTAATCAAGTTGTTGTTTGTTGCAGTGTTCTCCAAAATGTGAGGATGATGCATTCCAAAACCTTTGAATAATTGGTCTGGATGTCTTGTGATATCCATTTGTGAAACAGTTAGTGCCTCACATAGGCTGTGAATTTTGTACTTTTTCATGCCATTAACTTAGTAATTAGGCCTCTGATCTCAACTATTTTTCTTTCCCTTTTCCTCTTACAGGCTGGCAGGATAACCCGCAGTACTTCATCAGAGGACATGGACCAACATGGGGGTAAATAAACACACACACACACACACACACACACACACACACACACACACACACAGCACTTTAGATAATGAATGGAGCTTCTGCACATTTAGTGGGGGTGATGCAAAATGCAGAATTAAATAATTGTCATCTCCTAACCCCTAACTTTTTTCCCGAATCCACTGAGTTGGAAGAAAGTTGTTTCAATGAACACAATGAAATGTGTGAAATGCAGCCATAGATTTTACGTGTGTTTACTGCAGAATACAATGAAAGGATTAAGCGTGTTTATATGTCCTGCTTTAGGTCTGACTGTGCGTGACAGAGTGTTGGACTCCACATCCACGAGGGACAAGATGGCCAAGTATCAGGCTGCTGCTTCTAAACAAGGCGCCACCCGCTCTGTGAGTTCAACAAGAGCTGAATTTAAACATATAACTGGGATAACTGTTTTTTGTGTAAATACAAGTGTTTTCAAAGTCTGTCTTTTTAACTGGCAAATACACAGCCGTTCTCTCTGTAGCAGCCACTTGACACGTGTGTTTGTTTCCCTCTTTTCTTCCCCTTTGTGCTTCCTCCAGGCCGCAGAGGTGCCTGCTCCAAAAACATCTGCACCATCAATTCAGAAACACATTCCTGCACCTGAACGCAATGGTGAGTCGTAGTGGACAGTACTCAAAGGGCATTGTTAGTGTTATTTATGCAGTTTAACCTGTAATGTAAAATGGAACATTAACTACTATATTAATATTCCCAAATGACTCTGACACCGAGTATGAGACACAGTTTGGTTTGATTGCTCTTTCCAGCTGCTCAGTAAAACACTGACTGATGCTTTGTCTGTTTCAGGGGACAGCAGCAGCGAGCAGCCCAAAGCACCTCGGGTGAGTCAGTCATTACAAAAAGATGGACACATTCATGAAGCATCGAAAGAAATGTGCACTTTTAGCCCTTTCTAATTATGGATTTGTGTTACTTTCATTGTGTGTTTAGAAGTTCAGCGCACCGGTGAGGGAGATGTGCGTCGATTGTGAGAAGACGGTGTACCCGTTGGAGAGCCTGGTCGCTCTTCAGCATGTCTACCACAAAAGTTGCTTCCGCTGTGTTCACTGCAGCACCACGCTCAGGTCAGTTGTGCACTGTCACATATTTCCTACATTTTCAACGTGATTTTCAAATGCCTCCCTGGTGGCCGATCACAAGAACCTCAAAAACGGAAATTAGAAAAATAACATCTTTGCCATTTTTAATTTCTAGTCTTGGGAACTACGCTTCTCTGCATGGCAAAGTCTACTGCAAGCCCCATTTCAGCCAGCTGTTCAAAGCTAAAGGCAACTATGACGAGGGCTTCGGCCATCGGCCTCACAAGGAGCTCTGGGAGCCTCGAGCTGATGGAGAGGAAGGTGAGGAAGTGTTGACACCGAGGGAGCAAGCGGCCCCAGCAGCCGTGACGCGTCCCGCTGAGACTGTCTCAGAGAAACAGGGGCCCCCGGCCGTGGAGACCTCTCAGCCAGTGAAGGTAGGAGACCTGACTGCCAGACTGGAGACACGTGTGCAGAAACCTGTCAGGGCCGAGGAGAAGCCAGAGTCTGCAGAGAAGCCGGTGGAGAAACGCAGGCTGAGGGTCGCCTGGCCCCCCCCCGGCTGGTGAGGGCCCCTGTGGGACAGAAGCACTCAGTCCAGTCACAGAGGGAGTTTCTTCAAACCGACTTTGGAGAGCCAAGTGGCCCCCGGGGGGACGAGGTGCCTTCACCCTTCCAGAGCTCAGACCGGGCTGAGCTGAAGAGCCTGAGGAGGAGCTCTTCTCTGAAGGAGCGCATTCGGCCTTTTACAATCGCACCCAAACCCCGCGCCGCCGCCCCCCCGGAGCCCAGGGAGCTTCGGCGCCCTCTCAAATCCCTGCTGGACTGGAGGGCATCCTTCGAGGACGAACAGTCTGAAGAACCAGCAGTGGAGAAGAAGCCAGAGCCTCAGAAGCTGAAATGGCAGGAAAAGAAAGAAGAGTCATTGCCTCGAATACCGAGCGAAGATGAAGAAAATACAAGCGATGCCATCTCAGACGAGGCTGTGGAGACCGAGCTGCTGGAAGAGAGAGAGAAACCATGGAAGAGAGGAACAGCAGCAGCAGAAGACAAGATGGTGGAAGAAGACACTCTCTGAGAAGCAACTCCCCCGATATCTCACCGTCCGCCTCTCCACCTCCACAGCCGAAGCAGGACCGCGCCTCCCAGGATGTGGGCTTCTGGGAGGAGGACAAAGAAGGAAGTGATGCAGAGGAGCTGAGTGCGGAGGATATGATCAAGAGGAACCGCTACTATGACGACTCTGACTCTGACTCATAGAGACATCTAACAGTCCTATAGTCACCTCCAGCCACCCTATAACACTTTGACGGTTTTGTATATTCATTTTATTGGTAGATCACAAATGTAGCTTTGCAGGATTGTATTGTGTTATAGGAGAGTTGCGAACATGTGGAATAGGTGTGTGTATTTTATATTCGATAACTGCCTTTTAATTGTTAAATTACAAAAGTTTTAATTGTATACTGATAAATATCTAATTCAGCCTTCACACGGCTCCTGATTATACTGGAAGGTCGGCATGCATTCATTAACGTTTTATTTTTGCATGTATTTGTCAGAGGCAAGTTTAGAAATAGGGGCGAGAAGGGGGGGGGGGGCTGTGAAATGTCCCAAGGTTGGAATCAAACCTGGTACGTTCTGTTCTGTAACCACTCCAAAGCACTCATGCCTCTATTTAATGTAATCATCTCTTGATCATTTGATGCACCATCATTTCATTTGTAGGTAATGTGTCCAAAAACCCTTAAACTTTAGGCAGCACTTTAAGTGCTTTTTAATGACATTCAGCTAAACAGTCATTATTTTTGCACTTTCTTAAAACCAGAAAAGACCAAATAATCTTTTACCAAAAAGCAATCACCACTATGTTTTCAGGGAGTAAATGTCTGGGCGTTTGTGTCAACACTAGAAACAAACGTAAGACACATTAGAAAGCTCTGGATTAGATTTGAGCAACCCTAGAAATCAACAAAACTAGTTTAGAAATAACTGGAAATGTTCAAATACTTAATAGCAGACAATAGCAGTCTACTGATTTGTTAGTGAGCCTTTTTCAGTAGACATTAATATCAGTATCCTGCAGGGGGCTCTCTGGTTTGGTGGATCATTTACCTGTTCCTGAACTCTTCTAATCACTATAGCAATATTCGGAGGAGAAAATGTGATAAACGTTTCTACTGACAGCTATATTCAAGTCTAAGTAGCATATAAATCATCTCCTTGGGACTTCTGAATTTGTGTTCAACATTTCCAAATGTGATCCACTTTATACGGTTTGTAAAACATTTTGTATTTTGTAATGTGCCTGGAACATTTGTTCGCCCTGCAGAATATTTTTTTCATAATTTGTATAATGACATAAAGGGCTTACTGTCTAAAATGTTGTTGAAACACAATTAAAATATATCAAAACGGAAATGGAGTTTGCAGCCAATTACTTTGACTTTTAACATCCAGCACGTTTTCACTGGAGACGATTGTGTTTTACTCGATTCAGGTTTACCTGCTGGCTAGTGTCAGTTTCATCTTGTTGTATTCATGTATTGTTTATGAGAGTCCTTCATGCTATGCTTTTGAGAACAGACAGCCATTATAACTATGAATCCAAAGAAAATGCCCAACAAAACTGGATGATGGATATAATGTCCTTTTTAAAGATCCTTTTTTAGATTTTTAAATAATTAGTACCACTGCTGTAAGTACTTGCATAGTTTAAAACATCCAAGACAGTAACAAAACATTTTTGTAACATCTTTAAGCCTTAATAATGCCATTGATATTCCACTATGAACAGCTTTAGGGTCATCACTTCTTAAAAAACCTAAATAGAGGCACCTGCTCTATTATTGTAAGACAATAATTACGGTGATAATTTAACTCCGGTCCGACCATGCAGTTCAGGGAAGAAAGATTCATCATACATAAATAATTTAGCGATTCAAATATCCGTTCTGCATTTTAAAAGACATCTAAGATGATCTCATTAGCATTTTAGGTCAGTAAATGTCCAATGTCATTTATATTAAACTTGATGCAAAAGAAAAGGCCAAAGCAGGGTGTGAATATTGTTTTATTTTAAATGATTTTTGGCAGTTTACCCGATTGCTTTAAGGCAGTGTTTCTCAAACGTTTTCATACCAAGGACCACCCAACCAATAAAAAAACACTCGCGGACCACCTAACTCCACAAATATCCCAAAACACATCGTTTTTTACAAATCGCCTGAAAATGGTACAAACAAGTGGCAACATGTGCGATGAAGGTGTTTATCTGGGCTATATCATGCAATCGAAAGTGAAACTTAAGCTCGTTCCATTGCGGAGATATTCCCGCGAGAGTGCGAAAAACTTAAATAAATGTATTTCTTTCAAATGTGAAATTTTACCAATATACTCACGGACCACTAGGGGGCACTCACGGACCACCAGTGGTCCGCGGACCACACTTTGAGAAGCACTGCTTTAAGGGAAAAGAGACAAGGAGGACCATAAAAGTCAAGAAGAAATGAAAAAACATTACAGGATTTACACAAGGGCTGGACTGAGAAAGAGTGATAATAAACTTCATTCATGATTCATTAAATAAAATATAAAGTGGGGCTAAACATTAAACGTGAGTTGATGCGTCCAACAGCAGCAGACGCCCATCATTAGCTCCCATGATAAGATGACCACTAACACAAATGTGGACGATGACAATAAAAAGTGAATAACAAACACAGAACACCCCTCTACAGTACGGCTGACATAATGATGTGCAGACCGTTCCCTCGGCACACACTTAGCAGCAGTTGAGCATCACATGAGCAACAGCCTTTAAATTGTCTTGCTGACCAGGAAGATACTTCATGGATGCAATCTTTCCTTATTTATGCAACATGCATCCGATAATGTGACATTTCCAGCACTCGTATGGAATATTAAACAAGGCACTTTGCTCATTAGGTCAAGCCTTTAACAGCAGTCAGGCTTTTAGGCCTAAAGAAGTACTACATGTGTTTATTATAACCATGATATACAGCTAGTTTTAACAGCCTGTTATATTTGCATGAATAACTTCCAATTGCATCACAGAAATCAAAGTAGGTGTGCAAAATGTTGTCGCAAAAATAAAACAATAGGAACATTTAGCATTTACTTGGAGTTGGGGAGGGGATCACAAATTCTCCTTTAACAGTCTTCAATGTCAAAAAGATAAGATTTATAAGGAAAATAGGCACAGTTGTTAAAAGAAATACAGGCTTGTGACAATCAATGGTTGACTTGAACATACAGCAACATCACAAAAATAACCAGGAAAGACAAGGTATGTGAATTTGGATTTTCAAATATACCTGAGAGCAGCACATATTACAGTATGGCTTCATTTACAACATTCAAATCTCTTGAAATACCATGTTTAGTCGTGAGAGAGTTTAATAGTCTGAGACAACTTAGTTTCCCCTTAAACCCTAACGATGAGGTTCCATTGTATCCATCATTACTATGTTAACTTAGATATAGAGATCAGTTTTACTCTTGGTTTGTCGGGAGTTTAAGGTAAACCGCGAGATAAATGGGAAAAAAATGAATTTTGGTTTATTTTTTGCATCTTTTAGACACGCATGTTTCTCCTAAAGACTTTGGAGTGATTATGTCCAGCATAGGATTTGGATTACATTACATCCTGGTTAACATCATATATTAAAAGAGGACAAAAGCAAGTCATGATATTAAAACAATCCTAATTTAGAATTCAGCTTTTCAAACTGCTTCCCCCAACAGGACAATTCAACTGTTTTGGATTTAGCTTCAGCAACATGTTTGGAAATGTAATCATCCCATTATTCCTATTGCAGGTTTGCACTAAACATGGCGTAATGAGTCCATGTCAGAATATGAACTCACACGTGTAAAGCAGCAGATTTAAGTAAAGGCACTGTTCATTCAGTGCACTACTTCTTTCGTTTGGAAGACTATGTGAGCATGTCTCCCTCCCACCACTGAGTGTCAGTAACACACCGTTGATAGGAGGTACAGCAGACCTCCGGTGATGAGCAGTGTGTCTCAGCCTGCTGTCACATATCTATTGCTGATAAGAGGGTTCACTTGTTGGCTGGCATTTGCTCTGATTGGATTTTAACATTCATTCTGGTGTGACCCTTTCTTTGGCATTCTATGAACTTTATTCATAGTGATGAGAAACGTTTTCCCTATGCAAACCACTGGATTTTCTGAAAAACATGAATTATAAAAGGCACGCATGTAAAATTAACATACATTATGTTGATCATTCTTACAGCATGAGCCACAGTCACTTCTACACTGGACTCTTCAAGTCACATCTTGGAGCATTTTGATGTTGAGGTATTATTTAGTATCTGATCTCCAAAAATGTACCAGAGCTCAATTATTCGTCCATGCTCTGATTTCTCCGCAGTTTTTTCTCCTCTCTACTCAGCCACTGAGGGGGTGCAGGTCCACTTTGACCTTCTCCCCAGTGCTCATCATGCCTATGGTGGGGTACAAGCCTCCCACAGGTAAGGCCACATCCCTCCGGCCCACCACCTTTCCATTTCTGGTGAAGAACACCTGTTAAACACAAGGGGATAATATGAATATTTGTACACTTAATTTTTAAATGTATACAGTATTCTTATACTTTTTTCCTGACTGTGTTTATGTATACACCAAAGCACATTCCTTGCATGTGTAAACCTACTTGGCTTTTAACCTGGTTCTGAAGGATTTAAGAGTCCCTATTTTATAGTCTTCTTGAAATAATCTTACCGTGACCTTCCTCCCCTCCAAATCTTCTCCCTCCTCCTCCTCCTCCTCCTCTTCTTCATTGTTTGCATACAGATCATTCTGAACTTCACTGGGTTTGGGAATAACGTCAAAGTCCCAATCATCTACGTCATCTGAGAGAACCCAGACAGAGATATAGAAAGAAAGCTTATAAGAGGTCGTACATGCTGAGGCACAGTGCTTTTGGAAACATTATGAAGACTTTCACCTCCAGCGTCCAGGCTGTAGTCACGTGGAAACATGATCCCACAGCCCATGATATCCCCTTCAAAGCAGCGCGGGCCAAACGCGCCCCCGACCCCGCTGCCCTGGAACAACTTTCCATCATCTGCGAAGAACAACAGGGGCGTCGATCAGTGCTTCGTGTCACATGCGTGTGGGCGTGATACACTCAAGACACAAGACAACATCTGCCTCGGCTAACAACATCTTTCTGTTGGGTGGAGCAGTGTAAACTAATATCCGTCCATTTGTTTTCCGAGCCACTGGTCGTGCTCAGACAACTACAGACAGACAAACTCATTCTCACTCAGCCCTGCAGGCATTTGAAAGTTTCCAGTTGGTCTGACCTGCTGTGGGATGAAACCAGAGCAACAAGAGGAAACCAAGGCGAAACCCAGGGAAGAACAAACATTCAGTTGGAGCAATTACACTCACAAGTTCATTGGGAACTCTTTTCTGAAATACACTTTTTTGGCTGGTGGAAGACAGCTTTTACATATTCAATTATAACTGGCATGGCAACCAATAAATAATACATATGCAGCTTATATTATTGCCAGAAACATGAGACAAGTTGGTGCTCTTAGTGATTGCTAACCGGTAATGTGTACAGTACGAAACATAAGAAAGGATATGTAACACTTACACTGACCACAATGACAATGGCAGTTTAATACGGTTTTAATTTGAATGCAGAACTATCACATTGACGGATCGACATGCACCATCACGACGGCACTGACCTGCATGATAGGCTATAGACCCTCTGCTCCAGCCTGGATGTCTGTTTTTGGGGTAGTCCTGTGAGACAAAGGAGAAAGAGACATCTTAAGATCGATAAGCACACCCTCAAGTTTCTTTCCCTCTCTATATTTTTGTATTGAATTGGGGAGACAGACTCAAACTTCAAAACAAGATTTTGCTTCATGAATAACAAACATTGTTTGTAGCTTTTGGCATCCAGCAAATGTCAGTGTTTAGACCAGGGGTGCCCAACCAGTCGATCGCAGGGAGATTCCCAGTCGATCGCGAGATGTGTCTAAAAATAGAACAACAATATTCTGTTTTATCGTTAATGTCCTATAACATAATCTTCCTGTGCCAGAATAATGTACTTGAACGCATCAAAGCTTTGTGATTGGCCGGCGTGACCCCATGTGTCTGGGCGTGGCTGTTGGGCAGTGGGCACTATTTCGCTGATGTTGTCCGTGTCAACAGGAGTGACAGTCCGCACACACACAAGACCGCAATTATGGCTGAAGCAAAAAAGCCCAAAATATATAATTTTCACTCCGAGTGGGAGGATGATTATTTTTGTATATATTCCAATTCAAAGTCCATCTGTCTCATCTGCAATGCGAGCGTGGCTTTATCGAAGAAGGGTAATTTAGGAGCGGCATTTCAAAACAGTGCACAAACGCTACGAGACGGAATTCCCTCCTAATTCTGCCCTACGCTCCAAAAGGGGAGGGGCCTGAAAGGACAGCTAAATGCACAGCAGTCCATTTTCACCAGGCCCAACAACAAGAGCAAGGCTGCTACCATAGCATCTTATCGTGTCAGTCACGTTCTTGCGAAACACATGAAGTCTTTCAAAGACGGCGAAGTTGTGAAAGAAGCTTTCCTGGAGGCTGCCAACGTGCTTTTGGGGGACAGTAAAAATAACAGTAGCATTTCAACAGGTTTTTGATATAATAAAAACTCAAGTTAGATACCGTTATTAATCGGCTGTAAGTTTTAGTTTGTTTGAACTTATTCATTATAATTATTGTACAAAATGGTATAAGAATGCAAACTTAAATTGATTATAGTCTATTATCAATTCAGGTTAAGAAACTAGTGTTGCTTGCATCCTATTTTAAAAAGGCATTTCTTTTTATAATTTACTAAAATGCAACAAAAAAAGGGTTTGATTCTAATAATTTCGTCTTTTTTATTGCACTGTTGCAGCAGATTCCTGTGTAGCTTCAGATCTGAGTTGTCTTATTAGTAAGCCTAATTTATACTTTTGTAGCAACACTATTTTTATATAATGGCAAAGAAAGGGTTCAGAGTATTTTCTTCTTTTCCTGTGTCATATGTGGCAGCACTGTTCAATGTTTCTTGAAAACATTACCCACTGTAGTGACGTGTGAATAAACTCCAACTCTGTATCAACAACACTGTTGTGTAACTTCAGTTAAATACTTGTATGTGTGTAGATTAGAAAGAGGTAAGATAAAGGATCTGCAGTATTTTATGAAGTATTAATCGTACAAAGGTCAGTTTTATTCAAGTAGAAGTGTGTATTTACCTGGTAGTAGGCTGTCAGTAATGGCTACGCCTCTCTATTTGGACTGGTAGATCTCAGCAGACTGGCAACTTTAAAAGTAGCTCTCGGTTCAAAAAAGGTTGGGCACCCCTGGTTTAGACCTATGGTTTAGACTGAGGTGTCAGGAGGTTAGGAACCCAGGTGCAGAGAGACATGACAACTGTGCTGTGAGGTTAGTTGATAGCAATTGTGAATATAATATGTCAATATAATGTCTTTAGGTAATACATATTTTGATTGGGATATCTCAACAAAGGTATTTTTGATTATTATCTTGAGGAGTTTTACCTAATTATATTGACATATTGGACAAGCTGCAGAAAAAAATGTCATCTATTGGTTCCCTTATTAATCACTACCATAACACAGTTCATTGGGTTGGCTACCAAAGTGATTTGTAACTGAAAATTGCTCAGAGGCCCAGGCAGCTTAAATAAAACATCAATAACTGTGAGTCTGTGTTTACGGTGCAGAATCCATGCAGAACGTTGAGAAGTCTGCTCACTGCACTTGTTTATTCCCAGTAAGTGGAGAAGGAGAACATCATTTCCATTTAAGACCCCTAACCTATTCCTGTCCAGACAACTATTTGCTTCTTCAAATAGAGCTAGACACTTTGTATCTAGCTTTGGGAAAGTGTCATTTACAGAGGGATTGATGGACAAACTAAATCATCTGCGGCAACTTTCAGGGAGGGATTCTTGAATTGGATTTCCTGTAATAAAACAGATGACACCTTACAGTGAGAAGTAACCATATAAGCCCTTGAGAGAAGTGCACTGATATGATGATGAGCACAGCAACAGGTGAGATAAAGCATGAGAAGACAAGACTGAAGCAAAACCATATAATTAAATAGATAAGGTGCGTAGAAGAAAATAAGCCTTTCGCCTGGAGCAACAAAAGAGAAAAGGAATGCACTGACAGCAAATGCTTCTTCATCCACTATAAGCAACCGTTGAGCAAATTGAAAACGTGAAGCATGTGTTACCGCCATGGTTACCACGAGCCAAAGAGACACCTTTGTTTTGATTTCTGCAGCGAGAGGTAATGCTTCCCATCAGCATACTGGTGCATCTTGCATGGGTTGACGGGGGGGGGGGATACAGAACGTAACCTCAGGAATGCCCATTTGAAGGATTTACAATGCTCCTCCAAAACCGCAGACACGTTGAGAAATACACTTCATGGGAAACAATCAGCGAAATGACAAAGCTCTATTCTCCACCGAGTGTGACCAAAGGGCGCTGCGTGCACAGACGACTGGCGAGGAGTCGGAGGAAGCTTCATGTCCTTCAACAAGTCTTCTCTCAGTCCTAATTTATTTACAAAATACGGATCAGTGCTTGCCGTTATCTTTTATGATTTAATATCACCTCGTTAATTAGGATTAAACCTTTAATTGCTTAGCCTGAGGAACTCCTGCATACTTTGAATTCCTTTTTATTCTTTTCTAAAGCTGGAACAAAGCGAGCTAAGATCAGATATTCTCCTCGCATCTTTTCAATAACCTCTCATGAACCTGACTGCAGTGTTGTAGTCGACATGGTAGATTAGCATGTAAATGGAACAACCTGCTTTCTATGGAAGATCAGATGCAGGGGTAAAATGAGACAATATTTATTCAGTTGTTAGCTTTTCCTCTTTCGGTCATCCATCACTTAGACTGGAAACAGTGAGAGCAGTGGTGCACATGAGGAAACGCGATGACGCGGTGAGAGGGGGGGGGGGAGAGACGTTTTCTTTACTGACAGAAAACCAGCAGAGTGTGGGGAAAAAGTGATATGGTGTGTAAAGACATGTGATAAAGACATGTGTGATCAGTAGTGTTATGAGTGAGACTGTTACCCTGCGTGCCAGTCCCAGGGCAATGTAGCACTTCTCTCCAGGGTCTGTGATCTCCAGCTCGTAGTAGTGGAAGCGCGTGTTGAGGGGCCGCCGGGCCTGAGCCAAGCCCACGTCCACGATGCTCTTCCCCTTACCCATGTACTCCAGCAGCTGTGGAAACAACACATACAGTAACCTGCTCGGCACAGAACATCTGATCTGGAGACAGATCATCTTCTTGTGAGAGGATCAAGACCAAAAGAGCTGAAGCAAAAAAAGGGAATATTAGAGGTGGCCATAACAATGACAGCAAATCAAATCTATTGTTCCTTATTGCGCTTCTTAATGTGTAAATAAATACACTCTCTTGCCAAATTGGTTGTCACTGCATACATTATGTCTTAGCCACAATTACTATGAAGGATGATCAAATGTCAGTGTTGTGTACTCATGACTATATTCGTCTTAGAAAAAAATAAATAAAAATCATTGACTCATAAGTAATAAAGCACATCCTTGATGAATCCAATACACTTAGTTCTACAGCCTAATTTAGTCTAGTATGAACGTATGTTGGTGGCTAATGAAAGAGATACATATCTAACATAAATGCATCAATAAGCTTATTTTATGACAATTTTGTTTGTCTGTGTTACTGTACTTGTGTGACTGTTACATCATTTTTGAACAAATGGGTGATTTGCAGTGTTGTGCTAGTTACTGAAAACCAGTAACTAGTTACCATTACTAGTTACTTCATGTCAAAAGTAACTCAGTTACTTACACCCAAAAGTAATGCGTTACTGTGAAAAGTAACGTTTTAGTTTCTTGAAAAAAGGTCTCCCATTAATGCCCTTATAGCCTTCCTTTCAGTACTGTTATTGCATTGGAGAATAATACAATCTGTTGATCAACTTGACATGCATTATATGCAATCTGGATTGCATCGATATTAGCTGGCTTTCCATTTTTGTATATTCTTTCTCCAGGTAGTTGAAAAAAGTTTTCCGTCCCATATGCCGTGTGCCGCCCGGACATGCTATCATGCTAACTAGCTCCCTGAAAGCGGGTGACTCCACTGTAGCAATAGCCTGCATGTGTTCTACAACATACCGTGCAATGGCTTTATCGACTTTTCCCTGGATAACAGTCCTTTGGTTAAAATCCAGCCGCTGTTGCTTAGGTGGAGGTGGAGTGGCGTCGGCTGAGTCTCTGTGGTCTTAGCTACTAGCTTCGTCCCAGCATGTTGTTTTTGCAGATGTTTTAAGATATTTGAATTACTGGTTTGGGCAGTAGATAGGATCTTTGACCCGCCAAGACACAACTCACATTTAACTAAAACGTTATTTTCTTTGTGCTCGACAAAAGTGAAATAGTGAGAATATCTCCAGGTGGAGAAACTAGACTTGAGCTCCGCCGCCGCCACGATAGTCTTGTTAGTAAACAACACAAACACGCCCACAGCCCGTCTCCGCATGTGACACAGGAAGTATCTAAGTACATTTACTCAAGTACTTAAGTACAGTTCTCATCTCTGTTCGCCTGGCTGTTGACTATATAAAAAAACTAACGCAGTAACGGAGTAACGCACCATGTAGTAACGGTGACTGAGTTACTGAATATACAAAGTAATGCGTTAGCGTACTAGTTACTGCCAAAAGTAACGTTAGTTACTTGTAACGCGTTAGTCCCAACACTGGTGATTTGTAATAATTGTCTGTATAAGTATAATGCGATTTGATTTGTTTCACATAAAGCACCGTATCATATGTGTCACTTGTGGCCTCAATAGCTTTTGTTCACAGAGTCACAGAGGCTTGCTTTAAGCAGTGCATCTGTCCCACATAGAGAGCAGAAGTCTTGCCCCATTTAACCTCACAATCATCTGGGTCTTCTTACTATTTACATAAATAAGCGTAAACACTACCTAACTATTGTCAAGCAGGATGTTACACCAACTGTATACTTAGGCATGTCAATACAACTGGAGGAAGAATGTATTCAATTATTATAATGACTCCTGAGTTCGGCCCCGTCACTAGCTAGTGTTAGCTTGTCTGATGTGCACTGCTGCCTTCCTCTCATGCTGAAAGAGACATTAGCTACATAAGATGAAAGAACGTGTTTAATTACTCAATTATGCTGTTGCATGCAATACTTCCTGTCCTCAAAGAAAAAGGGGTCAGGATTTGGATTAGTCATCACTGACTGCTCCAAACTGTTTGGGTAAGGAAAGCCAAGAAGATAACATTACTGTTTACTACAAGCAGCAGAGGATAACATCAACAGCAGGAAAACTGGGTCAATTTCCAGAGTGACCTTCTCAAATGTTATCAGAGCAGTAGCTGAACACAAGGGAACGCAATACAACTGGCTGAAGATAAAAAGCTAGGAAACATATTTGAGAGTCGAGGGCCAACATCTAATTACTACCATGGTTATCGATTAGCAACGTTAAACTCACTCCTCTATCATTTAGAAGCAGCAGGCTCCTTGGAAAGAGGACATTCAGATTGCTTGTGTCCTCTTAATCTCTTTCTGGCAGTCAGCACAGCCTCGTGAGGTACACAGGCGCTCCAGTGCATATGCAAGTAGATGAAGAAACCCAGAAACAGAGATTGTTTGATAATAGAAACACATCAAACTGTAATCCAAAAACTTAAACGTCACAATTAAAACATCAAAGCAAACAGCTCTGACTCTCAGGAGCTATTCCACAGAAAAGCACCAATCCGTCTTTATTAATAACCCTTTTCATTTGTGTCCTGACAGCTTTCCTGTGTAATTGATGCGCTGCAGGGGAGCTCAGCCCTGCATTCATACAGGACAGGGCCACATTGGTACTAATAAAGGATCATTAAATGTGCGGGTGGCATAAAGGTACTGCCTGAAGGCTAGTGAGCCGCGAGCCCCTCCCATCCTATTCAGGTTTTGTGCGTAATATGTCCTGAGTCAGACACAAACACTGCAGGCCTGCCGTCACAGGGAGGGTGGAGTCCCCCGCAGAGAGACCGGGAGGTTGGAGTCCCCCGCAGAGAGACCGGGAGGGTGGAGTCCCCCGCAGAGAGACAGGGAGGGTGGAGTCCCCCGCAGAGAGACAGGGAGAAACAAACAGTGAATACTGTATCTGCTGTTCCTCTTATCAGGTATCTAGCAAAAGATAATTATTACGTCTATTTCTATATTGATTATCTGAGACTTAAGGGTTTGTCATCTAGGTGTTTGCACTTTGCCTTATTGATCGTAAATATGGACAATCCTTTTTAGTGTTATTTAAATAAACCAACCATTTTGAATAGAGTCAAGTGAATAGACAGCGTTGGACTTGGTACATCTGTGTGTCTCGGGTCCTGGACATGATGGCCAGAGAAACACTTACCTCTCCAAAAGCAACGTTGCACTTACCACAGCACACATTTATTTTATTCGTTTATTTACATGTTTTTGCATCATTCATACTTACCAAACATGTCATTAGCACTACCCCGCTTGCACTGACTGAACCATAAACACTTTCATTATTGTTACTGTACATAAAAAGTAACTGTCCATGTCTTTTATACTGTTTTATTGTTTGTACATTACGCCTACTATTACATTCTCTAACTCCACTTATCCTATGTTAGTACATATTTAAAGATTTAAATGTATGAAATCTGTATATTGCTATTTATAACATCACTCATGTTGTAGTGCTTACATATTTCAGTAATGAATACATTAGTAAACGCACTTCTGGCAAGAAGATATGTGTTTTAAATTGCCCTGTTCCTGTGCTCGTATGTCACTGAGTGGCAGACCTGCTCACAGTAGAAATGATAAAAATGATGTCAATTTTCTCAGCAACACTTACCGTGCCGGTCACCTTGACGTCATGGAGACGGCTCCAGTCCTCTTCATGACTATCCACAATCATCTGCCCATCATCCTCCTCCACCCCCCACTCAGCGTTCAGGTCCAGCAGAACTTCTTCCCCCAAAGAGTGCATCCCCACAGCGGGGTAAAAAGCCTCAGGAGAGGCTGGGATCTCCACACTGCCGACCTAGGCACACAGGCACAAACAGTTTTAGCTTTGAACTCTGAATACATTAATATATAAATGTGTAACGGCTGAATACATTCTGTATGAGGGGAATCATTCCAGGGTGAAGTAGCACTTACCTCTTTGCCATTCTTTGTAAAAAACACAGTGAGCTGTCCATCATCAGAGTCCAGAGATACGCCACAGCCGATTCTGTCTCCTCTGCAGCATTTTGGACCAAACTGCTGTCCTACAGTGTTGCCATTGTACAATCTGCGGAAAGACAAGAAGGGAAGGCTCAAGAGTTTCAGATGTTGCCAATTTAGAGACTAGAAAACCAGAAATACGTATTTAATATTTCATCAGATGCAGTGATACAATGTTTTTTAAATATTGCAATAGTCAGATGTATCAACATTTCCCTACTCCTAATAAAAATGACCAGCCATTATATTATTTCCTAGAATAAAGTCCACCTGTATAATAAGAACAAATGTGTAATATCACATACTTGCCGTCATCAGCATGAAAGGCCACAGAGTGGGGGAGCCAGCCCGGCTGATGGTCCAGCTTGTAGAGCTGAGGCACCAAGCCCACCGCGATCATTCCCCTCACTCCTGTGTCGACGATGGTCACCTGAACACACCACAGGTTGAATTATCTCAGAGAAACTGCAGTTAAAAATCACACTTCCCGAGGTGGTTTGATTCTTGTTAGGGACTCCAAAAAAACAGATTATCTTGAGGATGCGCCAATTTACCTTCTCAATGATGTGAGGGGTCGTACACATTGTTCTTACACATATTAGGACGTCAATCATGAATTCAAAAGCAGCTCTTTTTACATCCAAAACAACAGGTCATGAACTACTGGTTACACATAATGTGTGGGAGGCTGTTTCTATTGTGCATAAGCAGAGCAAACCTTGTTAAGCCAGAAGAAAAGGACTGAGGAGGAGTATGAAGGGAGGGTGGAGGACGCAGATTATTTTCTTTCTTTTTTTGATCAGACATCTTCTTTCTTTGTATTTCTTTTGTTAGATGTGGTCATACAGTATCGGTGATTCAGCCAATGAAATACAAATTTAGAAACATGCACAGAACGTGTATCTTATGTTCACAAATAAACAGATAAAGTCATCCTGTTTATTAAGCTAATACGGCATTTGATTGTAAAAAACAAGACTAAGAGCTGAATCTTGATCATTGAGCTAAATGCTAATTCTAGCAGGCTCTTAATGAAAGGGCTACGCTGCTGGTATAACGATGAATAAGCAAATATACTCTTTCTAACACACTTAAGTACAGGTAAGGCTGATGGGAGACAAATATATTTGTGATGCCGGTGCTGCTAATGGTGTCGGGGGTTCCCCAAAGCCAGAAGAAATTATTCTCTGCAGACCAATGGTGTGCGTTTAAAATAGAATTACAATCCATCCCATAGTTGTTGAGACATCTCAGTTAAAGTGGTGAACTGACTACCTCCTAGTTGTATACACATTATGGAAGGAGGCAACTTAAGGGTTACAAAATGTCCACTTGGCTGCTTCGTATATATGCTAGAAATGCTTTCGGTTTCTGCTCCTTCAGCACACCCCGAGACAACTTGCTGTTGAGTTAGCATGACTTCTCTTTTTATATCATGTAATTTCCAAGTCAACTTAAAATGATATGGCCTCTCAAAAACGGCATGTTTGTTCAAAGTGAAAACCCTGAAGTAAAGAGCTGGCCTTAAGCATTGTTATCATAACTGAATAGTGGCCACATGACCTCCTCCCTGGGGAGCCGGACATCGGAGCGCTGCTGGACAGGGCAAAGAGCAGAGGAAACGTTGAAGTTCTTTCCCAGATGAACATGCAGCCGAACCCTAAAATCTACCCTCAGATCTACCAGCAACTTCTTAACTATGATTTATTAGCTTCTATATCCATTTACGCAGAAAGCTTTTCCCTCCTCCTACGTGACTCCCACAAAGTGAGTCACAATGATGTAGAATATGCAAGAATAAAGGCTGAGTGGGCTAGTTAGTGCTTCACTACACGTCAGACCGGGGCAGGATGTGTTTGTGTGTTGGGCAAGTTTCAACGTGGTTTATCCTGAGAAACAGTCACTGTGCTGGGCTGTTTTTGAACTATAGTGTCTAGACTATCAACATTCGCAAAAAAACACAGCACAGGATTTGTAAAGAGCTGCATATTATTTTGGCTTTGTGAAACCAGTTTGTCAGGGTCCCACGTATAGGATGAAGGCGGTACATCCAGCAAGTCACCTAGCTACCATCACTGACTCATATATACAAATATATGTATGAAGCAGCTGTGTTAGTTAGTACTGACACTTCATACTGGCTGACGCTGCTTACAAATAACAATCTGCCCCCAGGTGACTAAGACTTGTTGATAGCATTCAGCACAATATCCTGCATGCAGCCATTAAGTAAATATTTTCATATTGAAACAAGTCAGCTATAAACAGAGGCTTACAGGTCAAAGATGTTTAAACTTACATTATCTTAATTAGCTACAGCTAGAAAGATCTGCCAGCATCAGCTGTACTGTTTATTCCGCCTTCAGAATCGATTGTTTCAGACTAGAGACATGACGGATGTTTTTGTCTGCCTCCGTCTGAATTCAAGGAATGGTCTTTTAAAACATGTACATAGAGTTTCAAGTTCAAAACATGCCCTTATGATCATTGTGAATGAGATATGTCATGCGTAGGTGATAGGGCTGCACGATTTTGGGAAATAAATCTAATTGCGATTTTTCTGACAAATATTGCGATTGCTATCATGGGCCACTTCTGATTGGTTAACAATGGGTGGTACATGTGGAGCAGAGCACTTCTGATTGGTGTGGATGACTGACAAACAAATAAAATCGCATCATTTAAAATCGCGATTTCGATTTAAAATCGATTTTTCGTTCAGCCCTAGTAGGTGAAGAGCTTGAAGGCAAGTGTGTAGGGCTTAGAACACCCTCTGTATGAAGTGAAACTATGTTACTGAACTTACAGCAGAAAAACAGAGCATGAAATGTGGCTGATGAATCAATGTACTGAATATCTGGATGACTAAAACTCTTTCTGCTTGGTCTCCTCTTTGATCTAAACATATATTGTTGTCTCTTCACAGTCACAAAGGTTTTACAATTACAATGATGTGATTAAAATACATGCACATTGTGAGTTGACTGAACAGTGTGTCATTAAAGTGTTTGAAGAAGTTCACGATGCACAGCTTAATGCTCCTGACTTTGGGGTAAATGGTTTTGGCACACATTTCACTCCTGGTGTGAGTGTAGAAAGAGCTTTCAAGTGACGCAACACATGTGTTTCCAATATGAAAAACGTTGTTTCTCATGAACAATGCTGTTCCAAGGAGTTATTGAGAATTATTTTACGGTAAGGCTCATTAAGATGAAAGAAAGCAGTCAGACACAATTTGCTGCCAACTCTCCTGTTATCAACACAAAACAAGGGCTGTGTCCTAAAACTATTGTAAAAAATGTATGCTGCATAAATATGTATCTTCTTCACTGCTGTGACAGTTTCTGTACAACAATGTTGAATGCACTTTCTAGTCCCAGGAAATGAAATGCTGACAGTTTCTAACACACTGCAATGTTTTTACCAACAAAATTACATTTATTTTTGTTTTGAAATCTATTTGAGCTAAACCCAACATCATGTGGAAGAGCTAAAGTCATGTAAGACACAATGTGAAGCCTTACTTCAAAATAGCGATTTCTTCTGGACAATGGCCTGGCCGCCACAAAACAGCCAACTTCATCTGAATTCCCATGATACCTACGAAGAAAAAAAAAATCTTAACTTGCAAAATGCAAACAAAGTGTGATGCTGATTCAGCAAACAAAGGAAAAGCTCTGGCATCAAATATGGAACTAAAACACAAACATATTCTGTGTCTCACACACTTGGTACTCATCACTGTTACCTGAGTATGTCTCCGTCTCTCAGCATCCTTTTGAGTCGCTCCCGGTAACGCACCGCTCGCACATCACGAATTTCTCGAATTCGCCTCCTCCAGTTCAGAAAGCGATAATGAAGGTTTATGTCGTCCATGTCTGAAAATCATTACAAACTGGCACACAGAAAAACAAATCAAAAGAGGTTTTACTGATTTAGAGAACATTATTACAAAAGCAGCCCGAGTAAGATTAGTGTTTTTCATTGTTGAAAAATCTGGACTGAAAAAACTGAAACGTTGACTTTAATTAAATGTATTATGTCAACAAATTAGGGCTGCTCAATTAAATCGTATTTTAATCGCAATTACGATTTTGGCTTGCAACGATTATGAAAACAACATAATCGAAATAAAACGATTATTCTTCTTCTTTTTTTTTGGTTTTTCAGTTGAATTTTACGTAAAGTTCAGGGTAATCAACTGTTAAAAACATACTGTTCAATTTTTCTTCTTTCAATAAATGGATGTTTTCAAAGTAAATGAATAATCGTTTTTAATAATCGTGATATCAATTATTGACCCAAATAATCGAGATTATGATTTTTGCCATAATCGAGCAGCCCTACAACAAATGTCACATAACTGTATTTGGTTGGTTGAAACCAATACAATTAAGTTGAAGCTATTTGAACTTTAGATAATTGCTATATATATGATATTATTCAATTTGTTCAGTGTGTTGATTATTTGATTAGATAGTAGTCTATAAAATGTCCGAAAATTATGAAAAGAGTAAATGTATAATGGAATTAGTTGGCTAATAATTTTATAGTCGACAATTTGCCTTTTTATCTTTGCAGCTCTAAACATTAGATATTTGCATAAAGAAAAGTTAAGTAGGCAATTTGTGCCTCAAGTTCTTTTTGTGACACAAACAAATCACCGACGTTTGTTCAGTGAATTGTTATAGCCACAGAAGCTTGTCAGGAACAGGGATAGCTTTAAGACAAACAGCACAGGTCCTCCTTAAAACCAAAGAAAATCCTTTAACCACAACATGATTATCACTGTTGCCTGACAACGTTGGTCCTCAGGCCAAACCTTGCCTGTGACGAGTTGATGTGTTTGTGTTTTTCCATTTCCATTTAATCCCACATTCCAGAGACAAGCAAAGGCCTGGACAGTGATTGTACACTGCCAACAGGCACGAACGGGAATCCCTTGTTTGTATTAGCCCTATGATGGTCAGGTGTCTCCCTTGGGTGTCTTCCACCCCATATGAACTCCAACTGACTCAAGTATAGACTGGCTCCCAGCACTTTGGTAGCTGGGTGGTTAAAGCCACATAACCGTAAAGTCTTAGGTTTTCTACTCTCTACACCCATTTCTACTTTGTCATCTGTCAAATAAATGCAATAAACCCTAAAAATGATCTTTAAAAAAAGGATGAAGGATAAACTGGCTTATCTGCTAATGCTTGAGTAAAAGCAAAACTATGACTCAGTGTTTCTGGTCCTTTTCTCTCAGAAAAACAGCAAACCTGTTTTCCAACACTTGATAATGTAGGACTGCAAACAGAGATTAGATTAATTTAATACCTAATCCTTTAAGAATGAAATTAATCTAACTATTAGTTTCACAATGTATCATCATTTAGTCAATAAAGGCCAACAAAATAGACCATCCCTTTAAACATTAAAACAAGAAAAAAAAAGAGGATATAATACATTTGAAGATAATTTTTCTGTCCATCAACTAATCACTTTACCCATCAGCTCAACGCTGGAGCATTTATTATGGTATGCTTTGTTTGACCTTTTTAATTATTATTTAAATGCAAAAGATGTTTTCGCTGGTTATTCATAGACTGTATATTATATTATGACGGTAGTATGGTAGGAGACTGTAGTATTATAAAGACTGACGTAAGTAGTCAAGTAGTTTCGGTGCTTTAAAAAAATGTCGGTTCCTTGAAATAATGGCCTTCATCTTTTCAAAACAAGTTCACAGCCATAACAACATATTTATAATATAGTGTAGGATCCAACTGATATTATATTTTTGTAAAATAAACTAATATGCTAGCGATCACCTTATATTTTTATTTGTAACGTGTAAACTTCTCTGATGTTTTGTTTTACGAGTCGACCCTAAACGCAGCATTGTATTTCCTAAACTACAGACAGGACTCGGTTGGCCGGCTAGCTGCTTTCAGCGGTACGACGTTAAGGCTAATAAGGTACTGTAAACAGGACTATATCTCAGGTTAAACACAAGGTATTCACACCCGCTTTGTTTCATGTTGTTCCTTACTGTTTTATAACTTGTAATGCGTCGTCCTTCGGGTTTTCTTCCAATTTTAAGGAGGTGAAGTCTGTCACTTTATGTCCAACCTGCGCCGTCGGAAGTCCCGCCCTCTCAACCAATCACATCACAGCATACACACAGTGTGTCCTTAACCTGTGAACTGCCGTGTGTTTTTGTAGTCTTTCAAAAGGTTGTACAGATTGTGTTTAACATGATTTACACGAACATTACACACACAACTTGAAAGAAAAAACGTACTAAAAAGAGGCACCTGTACCACATTGTTTTCTTTTCCTATAGGTATCCCACTGTTTTTTAAAACAAATAACAATGTATCTGTTAGTCTCTATACGGAGTATTTACAGTCATATGTAATGAAGAATTGTATACTTTTAGAAAGGCAAGAATCACAGAGTAGCCAAAGTTGTTATCTTTAGATAAAATAACGAGGATTGAAAATATTCGTTATATATATCGTTAAACATTTCCACATATCCCTTTTGACTGATACCGAGTTCACAGATACAGTTGTGCAAGTGTGAAAGAAAGGGATTGTTTTCTACTTTGCTAAAAGTGATGCAATGTGGCAATTTTATTAGATTTTTTTCCTTCAATTGTTTGTTGTGATAATGATATTAATCCTAAAAAGAAATTAAAAAAAATTAATCAATACATTTTCACATTTTTTTATTAAGAAGCTGCTACAAAAGCTTCATAACAATTTGGATTGTGTTCTTTTTGCCAAAAAAATCCACAATACCTTATCAAATTAATGAAAATCCATGAATTCATAAACCCATACCTAATACATCCAAACACAGTAAGGGACAGAGAGAGAAAATGTGTTGTTTCACAGTGTTATTATATTTTCACATCAAGTAGTCTAACGTGTACTTTAAGTGACATTTATGACAAGTTCTGAGATTGTGTCTTCTAATTAATCTGTTTGTGACTCAGAAGAATTTGCAGGGTGGGACTTTTTGCTCATGGCCATTAATGCCTTAGTCATCCAGCATTGAGTGGCACTCCTTCAGCCTCTCTGTGTGTCGGCCCTTTCCTCTCAATCTGTAGCCCTGCCGTCACAGACTGTCAACACGCTCTAGGTTTGTTTAGTGGTTGCTATTTAAAGTCAAAACAAAACAAGAATGAACATTTTGAACAACTAAATACTTAACACTGCTTAAATTATTCATTTCCCCCCAGTAGGTTTAGTCATGATTTGTGTTTTTTGTACTGAATTTATATGCATTTTAAATAATGTATAATGTTGAGTCACAATAATCATGAACTGTAAATAATATTTATTAGTGTTAAGGTGGAGCTAGGTTTGCATTGTCATACTCCCCTTATAGGTTTTGTATATCAAATATACAGCGTTAATATATAAAATAACTTTTCCTTTTGTGTATAAATATATGAAAAAAGTACTTTATTTACTTGAGAAATGTACAACTGTAAAATTACAGTGAAGACAGTGCTTGAATAAATGCTGATGGCTTAGCTTCTTTATTTTATTTTGTGCTTTTCCTTGAGGTAATTTCAACTACAGCTACTGGTGGTATTACATTGCATACATGCAGGTTACATAATTCAAATTGATGTTTGTTTTTTATGATGAAAAGCAATGATTTAAAAGCCTAAACGGATAATTTCTCATCTGCTGAGCTGTGATTGGTTGGTTACATAAAAGTGTCTCCTCGGTTAATAAATTATCCTCTCAGTGGGGAGCAGGCAGAGTAATGGAGTAGCATACATAGCAAACACTTGTGATTTATGTGGTTTTAGAAACACATTACTATCCTGCAGGATGACAGACAACAAATGGTATGAGCATGCGTGAGTGAGTTTTGGATACAAGGAAACGGGGTGTGCTCAGCTGTGTGAAAACAAGAGGGAAAACTAACATTCTCCATCACGTACCCTCCCATACCTTTTCCCACTGGTTTCGACTCTTTAAAAGCTGCTGCCAGTGTTGTCTCTCAGCCTCATTATCACTTTGCCTGAGCTTGAGGGAATTACTATCCAGCTTTCTAAACACAGGCACACTTCAGAGGGATTACTTTAGGATAGAGAGGGATCAAAAGTCCTGATACAACGAGTACATTTGTAGGACTGTTACCTTATTGGTGGACAACTTCCAGTGTGATATGCTTCTGTGTTTAAACATCCTGTTGCTGCTACTCCTCCAGCCGGCTCTGTCGTCCCCAGTGCAACTGACCACCCCGTCCAGAGGATGTGCCACCTGCAAATCAAAGTCCACACAGCGTCAGCCGGTCGTAGCTTTAAATGCCACCGCTCTGGCCATCGGAGAAGCATGTGGGGTTTACACTCTCAGCTGCGCCCAAGGTCTGCGTTGTGCCCCTTCAGAGGATGAGGCGAGGCCCCTCCGTGCCCTGCTGGAAGGCAGGGGGGTCTGCAGTAACGCCAGCAGCACCAGCCCGACTGAAAGTGTCCCAACAGTAGGTAAGACGAGATTCAAGAAAGTGAGGTTCATGGTGTATGGGTTTCACCAACACTGACCATTTGCTGATTAGTTCGTCAGGATTTGACACAAATGATCAACAAGTGAGCATTCAGTAAATTCCTGTGAAGAGTTAAGAGTGGAGTGACGAGGACATTTGAACAGAAAAACATGTTTTTACACAACGAGTTTCAGCAAAGGAGATGTTTTTATGGCTCAAAGGTCGCAGTATAACTAATGATTCTCAAGATGGGTTTTACTTCATCTAATAGTAATTTTAGTATAATTATTGCTATTAGATAACTGTGAGTAAAGTGCATTCAAGTTGTTAAGTAGTGGAGAATGGAATGACTGTTGTTTGATTAAAGTGTTTACTTAAGAAGTGATCAAGGCTAAATGTGTTGTCTCTACTTGATCCTAGCTCCAGCATCTACTGAGGATCCGGATGAGGTAACAACATCATTTTTACTGATTGACCTAAAGAATGCTGAGACATGAATTCAGTCAGGCACTCACATGTGTTTTCAACTCTTACAGCATCCATGTCGTAAATCTATAACTACACTTATCGAAGGTCATGATGCCCACGTATTTAAGAAGGATGATTATATCTACATACCCAACTGTGACAAGCGTGGTTTCTTCAGAAAGAAGCAGGTGAGTTTGCAAAACAAGAGGAATAATAAAAAGCCTTTCCTACAGATGTGTGGTTGTATTCCCAGCTGAAAAACTATATTTCTGTTTGCTCTGTTTGAGCAGTGTATGTCATCTCAACCTAAGCAACGTCGCAAGTGCTGGTGTGTGGATCAGAAGGGTGTGGAAGTCCCCTCAAAAACGAAACAGAAGGGCCCCCTGAGTTGTTGAATGGCATAAAGTCCACAATAATGAAACCCAGGAGGCTGAAGCTTTATTGCTAAGGCGAGATAAAGATGAAGGAACACCAAACAGAGGAATTTCATCAGAGTCTCACATTTCATTCTCCACCAGAAACAGCTCTCCACCAATGAAAAGCTGTTTCCAAATCTGGTGTAACTTTGTCTCCTTGCGCCCTCTACTGTACATATTAGGACCGTTTTAATTAGACATTCCTTTCATTTCTGCTTATGTGAGATTTAGATCAAATCTATATTTACATGTTAAATTATCCATCCATTATGTTAGTTGCAAAAATGCCCCCCACGGTTTGAGCGACACATATTTGTGTATAACATTTTAGCTTCATTAATATTTCGAGCCATCAAACATTATCAGGAAAAAAAACGTTTGTAATAATGTTTTATATTTGTATATATTCTCAGTATTTGTTTTTACTTTGAAACCACTGTAATTGTATTACTGTAATTACTGTATGTAATCCTATTTATGTTGCTTTGAATATGATATTCTATTTATATTAATATATCTAGTAATTAGATAATTAGACTAGAACAAGTCATTTATCAGTGGTTGCCCATTAAAGCAGACACTTAAGGTATTATTTTAAACAAAACGTGTGTTTTTATTATAGAATTAGATGGGCATTATTATTATGCTTTTTTGGCTTTCATGAAGAAAACGTGCCTCGAACAATAAGAGGAGGTGTGTTTAAGAAAGGTTCAAACTGACACTGATGGGCACTATTGCAAACACGCCCACAAGACACTCTATGTATGCTTTGTGGATTTTGTGCATTTAAATAATAAAACATACAAGTCATGCAAACATGTCTGTTATTGAACATAAAGGAGTTTGAAGGTAGAACAAACCCAATGAACTAATGTATCAATATTGGATTGATGATTTACTACAATAAAACAATTTGACAGTTTATTATCTTCTTACTAGCAACAATATGTTGGTTAGGCAAAATGTTGGCATAAATTACACTTGCGAAACATCAAAATTGAAATAACTGCATATGTTTCCATATCATTAACTAAGGTGTTTAGTATCTTAGTTAAAGCATTACGTTTTTGTTAAGACAATTATACTGAAAGGTGTTTTATTTTATCAACCTCATCTAGATGAATGGAGTTTAATAACATAGTTTATAAACCTTACGACAGTGGTTACAAGTCATAAGGCTGCCAGGCCCAAGATAAATCTAAAGGGATGATTAAGTGATAAGGGGGTCTTCAAAAATCCTTCAAATTGAGCAACATGAGACACATTAATTTATCATTTGTCACAAAATGATTGTATTAGTATTTGTGAGGAGGTATATGAAATGATGAGGATAATGACTATTATCAGTGTTAATATTACAAGTGGCCAATAACATAACTCATTATGTTATACATCAAATAATCTGCAGTGATGACACTATAGTCCAAACATATCGTTGGCAAAAGAACCCATTTCAAAATAAAATCCATACTCAAGTGAAGTAGCTTTAGTAGAGTACTTGAGTTAAGCTAATGCTACTTTCCACCACTGAAACCAGTCAAACATCACGTGCATGAGATGAGTAAAGATTATTTCTGAACATTGCTACATTTTACCGACTGTAATGCTGATTTAGTTCCGAGTTTTGTCGATGTTTAGTTTCATAGTGGCCCTGAATGGAGCAAAGCCTGTGGAGCAGGAGGTGTTCAGTCAGCAGGTTGCTGCTGCAGAGACAGACTACAAGGCGGACTTTAGGCTACTTTACATAGACAGGACGCCACTACAGATACAGCTCACCCTGCTCTCAGACTGAGATACAGGTGCCATGTCTTCCCCCGGAGCCACCTCCAGCTCTCTGAGCAGCCTGGCGCCCAAAAGGAAGACCAAGAAGAAGCATTTCGTGCAGCAGAAAGTGAAGGTTTTCCGAGCCAGTGACCCCGTGCTGAGCGTGCTGATGTGGGGCGTCAATCACTCGGTAGGTACATGTTTTTTTAAAATAATTGTAACATATGTGTGAATATGTGTTGATGTGCTCCTCATCCATTGATCATGCGCAGATTAACGACCTGAGCCATGTGCCTGTACCTGTCATGCTGCTCCCAGATGACTTCAAAGCCAGCACCAAGATCAAAGTCAGCAACCACCTCTTCAACAAGTACTGTGCTCCACCCAAATCTGTCCGTCTCATTGTAGGAACCTTCATCCTGCTTCCTCTGATTTGCACAGATTTATTTGTGGCCCCTGATTTATATGCTGGCCTGTGCTTAATGGAAATCGCAGTCCTCCCTTTAGAGAACAACAATCATTTTACTGCAGTAACAATAACTTAAACACTGTTACAACCATTATTACTTACAATAACTGCCCAAACAATATGATAATGTTGCTTGGCTGGGGGATGGTGCCAAGCAATGTGGGTGAATGTAATGTAAAATAATGAAAGTGTGCACCAGCTTTGGGAATGCATTTTTATTTTATTTACATATTTAAGACAAAACATTGTTTAATTAAACCCCTCAGATCATGTTGCACTGGCAGAGGATGAGCGATAATAAGAGAAAGTATATAACCACAAAAAGCCTTTTTTTGAATGGGAACTATATGAAAGCTGTGCTATACACTGCCTCTAGGTTCACTTTCCATACTAATAGAGTGTAGAAAACTTGAGGCTTTCAATAATCCCTTAATCCATCCAGGAATCCAGGTTGTGTAAAGACTTATAAACAGAAGTGGGGAGAACAACACACTATCTTTTCTCAAGCTAAAAATGACTGTTACCTTGGTGAGATTAGTTCAAGTGTGTTTCATGGTGCTTGATGTAGAAAACACTTAAGTGAAACAGCAAGGCATAAAGAGAATTAAGTCAAATAGTTTGATAGTAACCCATGATGCAGTTGTCAATTTGGACAATTGAAAAAGCAGCATATTGTAGCTTGTAGTGGTATTATATAATACAAAGCTACACTATTTGTGTTAAATAATGAACACAATTTGAATTGGTTACCGTCTTTGTTTGGATCAAATTCATTTTGTAAGAGAATGTCAGTCAAGCATAAACTGAAATGTAATCATGTTACTTTTGGGAACAGAAATAACACATTTGAAAAATGTATTCAAAAAAGATGTCTTTTATGGAAACATTGGCATCTGTTGTGAAGCTCCCAGTCAACAACAGTTGCTAATGATATGCTGAGTGAAGAATGCTGCCGCAGCAAAATATATCAAGCTGCATTGAATCCTTTTATGTTTCTCTTTCAGAGAGAATCTTCCAGGACAGTTTAAATTTAAAGACTACTGCCCGCAGGTGTTCAGAAACCTGCGAGAGCGCTTCGGTATAGAGGACCAAGATTATCAGGTAAAGCTTCAAATTCAATGTAAATCAGCACTGGATTGTGCGAACAAACAACCATGGACAGAAAAAACAATACCTTCCCTAACAAGATCTAACTATATGGAAAATAGAGACACAGTATTTCATGAACACTGAGCATAAAGGTTTTTCAGTGTGTGTTTTCTTAAAAAACAGACAATTCGCTGCATCAATTGAGCTGCTCCCTTCTAAATTTGCATTCCTTTGTGTGATATTTGCATGTGCCAGGTGGCAGACAGAGTCGTCGTCTGCTCAGCGCACATTTGCTTAGCCCACAATTGCTATGTGAGGCATACTGTATGTGCTGATAAATGTTTAGGTAACACTTTCTACAAAGACCATATCTATAATGTATCATGAGGGCAGTCTTAGTGAATAGTAATGCATGCATAACAATTCACGACTGCTCTAACACACTTAAAAGTCTCTGATGCAGTATATCAACAGCAATAAAATATTATAGATGTGTCTTATAATTGATTATAAATTAAAGTGTCTTATGGATGCTAATGACTCGTTCTAAACTAGAGGTTGACTGATGGGGCTTATAATGTTATGACTATTTATACCGACCTATGCACACCTCAGTACTCAACTCATAGTCTGCTTTAGTACAGTATCAGAAGTGATCGTTGTATATGTACAGTACAGACGTATTGGTGCATCTATAATAATGTTTCATCAGAAAGTCATAATAGCTGGTGGTAAATAAAGCGAGACGCATTTGCATGCATTTCATTTCATTAAATAATCTATGCAGAATTATAAGTGATTAGCATTTTACATGATAATCAATGATTGACCGATGAATTTGAGGCTTATAGTTACTTTTAAGTCTCATCAATAATGTTTAATGAATGCACTCTAGATGTGGTCTTCATAGAAGTGTTTTTTCTTCACATTTGTAAAGTGATGCAGCAAATGTCTTGTTACAAAGTGTGCATAAATGCAAAATGCTTCCAAAGTTATAGTATGATAACAATAACATGAGTATGCCTTGTATCTTAAAATGTATGTTTGCTTTATAAATAGTGTTTCAGTGTAAAAACGGTTGTAAAACAGGACACTGGTGTAATCAAAGTAAAGGTTTCACTGACTTGGCAGATGTATTGTTCGTTTCATCTCTCATGTTGCCATCCTCTCTCTCACCAACAGGTGTCTCTGGCCCGCAGTCCTCCACTAAAAGACGAGGAGGGGCAACGCGTGGAGCTGCTGCTGACATCATACGACCACACATTGATAATAAAAGAAATCTCCAGTGAGGAGGTGGAGGAAATTCACAACATCCTCTCTGAGTATCACCAGGTAGGACTAACTCAGGGGGGGCGGGAGCTTACCTATGGTAGGAGGTTTCCTTTCACAGTGAGAAACACATCATCCTATAGATCTACATTCTAGTTTGTGACTAGTCAGTATAATCTGAGGAAACATTTCATTAGTCGCATATTTTTCCACTCCTTTGAATACCAGGAGCAAATGTGCTCTTTCTGTGATAACCCTGGTTGCCATGGTACTTTACAACATCAAAGCAATAGGACGAGCATTTGAATTTCAAACGGAGAGTTTTTTGACTAGCAGTAATGATAAATGACCAGCGCTCTCATTTCAATTTGAGTTGATAAAGATATAAGCAAACACATGCTTTCATGACTGTGTCTGCTTCTACTGGCCTTCATAGTGAGAGAGATAGAAACACATTTAACAGGAAATTATATTTGACATTACATTTTGGCTTAAAGAACCCTCAACATTTGAGTTCTGCGTATGGACTTGGTTATAGTTAAGTAATGGTTCCTTTAGTTTTATTCCAAAAGACCCTTGTTTGTAAAAAGAAGTCCAGTTTTACAGAAGTCTATAAGAAAAAGAACCTGCTTCTCACTTCATTTGTTACCTCAGCAAACATATTCCTGACAAGTGCATGTTCTCACTTGCTAGTTTCAAGGCTAGCAACGTGATGTCTAATTTGTAAAAAACTGTAAAAAACAGTATGTGCTTTAGGGCATGACTACCTTGTGATTGACAGGTCTCTACCACCGAGCTGTCTGTTTTTTTGTCTTAAAACTTTAAACCTTTCACAGTGTAATCAAAAATTGTTGTTCAATGTTTCATTGTACATTGTTCCAGCGTCCTGTGTCACTGCTGGTTCCAAAAATAAACAAGATGGCAATGTCCAAAATAACAAAATCAAGGCTTCAATACAATAGTCGACAAAGTCCAAATGATGTGTGACATTACAGTGACTCTGACAACACCTTATTTACAGTCTATTGTTGCTATCCGTATTCTTCTCTTCTTTTCTTGGTAATTTTTTTGTTTCTCTTGCATGACTTGCACCTGTGTACAATGTAATTATCTGAAACCATTGGCAGGACTTTGCATTGCACAATATAAACAAAACAGTGGCACACATCCTCCAAACATTTATTTATTGTCTTATATTTGTATTTACTTATCGCACTGTGTTGATGCATCCTTGATTTCCCCAAGATTCATTGTCTTTTCACTGCTGTTCCCTCGTAGCATATCGTCACGTGCCACGGCAGTACGCTGCTCCCTCAGTTCCTGGCCATGTACAGAATCACCGTGGAGAGCGAGGACACATACCTGCTAGTAATGAGGAACATGTTCAGCCACAGACTGCACGTACACAGGAAGTACGACCTCAAGGTAAATCCTGGCTTAAACTGATGAGGATTCAGAAACTACTATCAGTATGGACTTTCTTTTGACACTGGCATGGTGGGCTGTTGAAGCACCTGTAGTACATTTCAACTCAGCTCATTTTGCTGCTGAATTTTATGTAAAACACTGACTGACAATGGTCCTGTGATTGATACCAACTAAGCCAGAATGACAGTTTAAGAAGTTATGTGTGAATGTATATGTATAGTTTCTGTAGTATTTTGGCTCATATGTTAACTTTTAGTGAATATGGGCATCTTTTCTTTCCTCAGGGGTCCCTGGTGTCTCGTGAAGCAAGTTTTAAAGAGAAGGTGAGATCGAGAAAAGGAAAAGGTCGAATGATAAGCTCTAGTAAACTCTGCATTCTTATAACCAGTATAGCACCCCCCAAGCTGTGTATCATAGCTTAGGCTCAGAGAAAAAGTGCTGCGGGGATGATGTATTTTTGTAGGTCAACACAGAGGTCAGCATAGCACTGGTTGCCTAAATGGAAAGCCATAGGTTTGTTTTGATTATTTCAAAATAATACTCTCCGGCAAACACAAGTATATGTGTATATGATAATGACAAAAAAATATCAGCAAGATAATCTTCACAAATGAACACCACTTCATTTTCAAAGCATAATACCAAACTTATGTGTGTAACCAAAACCCTCTACAACTGACAAGGTAACCTGACGTGGAAAATGCTTACTTAATTACAGTTTTTAAAACACTTTCCTGAAGCACTTTATCTCAAATCCTTATGTTACTGGCAGCATGGTGAGGGCTAAGGATGTATCAATACAGAGCACAGTTAGGCTGCTGATATTTCCCCCACAATGGATTTGAACTTGCGGAAACTTCAGTCAGATAAAGGATCAATGAGTCAGACCATAAATAAAATGTTAACTAAACAACCACGCTCTCTCGAACCCGGGGAAGGAGAAGGAGCAGAGGGTTAACAAGTGGCTGCTCTTTCGGTCGTTTTGTTAATGCCTACACGATGTTTATTATTGGCAGTCTGCTGAAGGAATGCAGTCAGGTTTGATTTAAATCATTAACATGAGTGTTGTCTTGTTTAAAGACTGCCTGTTGATATCAATGCCACAGAGAGAAAAAGTAATGTATGACTCACATCAACCTGTTCTCTTTAATATAATTGAACACAGACTAATGAAAACATAATGGATTCAATCCTGCAATCGTAGTTTAGCAACAATGATACATTTGGCACAGCTACTGTTTATGGATTGTCTTGTTAAAGGAAAACGTTTTGAAAGATAGGTTAAGTATTACTTAGACCACTAAAAAGATTTGCTGGTCTGACATTCTTTAAAAAAAAGAGTACTTCATTGATTTAATACTGCACTCACGTCAAAAAAGGCTGAATCCTCCATTTCCCATAAAGTAGCTCCCTTCAGATATTGTCAACTCAACCGTTTTTTCAGGCTAGTTGGTATTTCTCCTGAAGATTAACCAGACGTTCATGTTCAATTGCGCAATGCCCCTTTAGCAGTCCCCCAAACCAGCAGAGTGCTCATTTGGAAACCATAATAACAAATGTTAGGAGCCTGGTAGGTGAAATAATTATAGTGAGATCTTAGAGAACTGTAATTAAATTGATAAAAGGTCAATTAAATCTATAACTCTTTGTTGCATGCTAAACGATTACAACGTAATGAGATGAATTGGCTGCAGCTGAGCCACGGGCCTATTTGCAGGTGTGGGCGTATGTTCATTTCCCCCCAGTTTGAAATGCTGTATCTCTAACAACAACAATCCAGAGGAATACTGTATGAAATGTGCGACTGAGGGCAGAGTATGAAATCACATTCCCAATATTTTATATAATGTTATTGTTTTTGACACATATGAGTTTAATATTAGATGTTCAGATATATTTGCACAGAAATTCACTTAGCAAATAGACTTTAAATAACATAAGAACCCCTCTGTTTGGCTTGACCTCAATAACTAGACTACAAAATAGCTTGGTAAATGGAGTCTAAATAACTGCAGGAAACCTTTGATCTTTCCAACTGTGTTCATTAAAACAAAATGTGGGGTATGATTATTTGACATTTATGTTGTTGGAAATTGCATGAGAAAACTGCTAAAGGATATTGTGATCTCTACGCTAAAATGTACATTTAAAGTTTGATGACCATAGCTCTTTATTTCCAGGTGAAGGAGCTTCCCACTTATAAAGATGTAGACTTCAGGAATAAGATGCAAAAAGTGTATGTGAGCGCCGAGGAGAGGGAAAAGATCATGGACAAACTGAACAGAGATATCGAGGTAAGAAAACTGTTGGAGAAGCGACCATTGTTTTCTCATACGTAACTTGTTCACATGTAAATGTCCTCTCACTGCAGTTTCTGGTGCGTATGAAGATCATGGACTACAGCCTGCTGCTGGGCATCCATGATGTTGAGCGGGCCGAGAGGGACGAGGAGGACGAGGAGGACACGGAGTCGTCCTATGAAGAGGAAGAGGTGGAGGAAAACGGCCTGGCTCACGCTCCATGCTCCACCTCATCTGGGGGTATCGGGGGCTACATGAACTCCTTCAAACCGATGGGCCCCGGCGAGTTCGACCCTTACGTGGACGTGTACGCTATTCAGAGCGCTGTGGGTGAGTCGGGACAACTGAGATATCTCTGCTGAGTTAAAGTAGGTCACACTGTTGTTAGAGAAGTCACACATCTGGTATTTATGGTAACTGTTATATTTTAAAAAGGAAAACATATATTTTGTTTGTAATACTTATGACAATATCATAAATATTAAGTCATGTAAATAATGAAGTAAATAAATGCTTGTGCCTTAAATAGTATAAATGACTTGTTTTATTGTTGTTGTTGTTTTTTCTAAAGATATTGCAATTATTTATAAGAGAAGATAAGATAAGATAAAAATGACCTTCATTCATCCCCGTAGGGAAACACGTTTGCATAGCAGCAACAGAATAAGAGTTCACATAAGGATTATAAGAATAAAGTCAAAAGGAAAGTAACCGTATGAATAAAAAAAACTAAACAATAATAACATAAGGTAGCTGCATTTACATAAAGTGCTTAGATGTTGTATGTTAAAGCTTTGATTGTGGAGCCTGATTGTTGTCATCAAAATCTAGTGAAAGTCTGATATTGTGTCACCCCTCGTTGTAATACACTTGAACCTCATTTAATGCTGGGATGCAGTAGATAAGGGCATGTGTGCATATAACTGGCTGAAGGCTGTGAATCCCTCCCATGTAGGTGCACCGCAGAGGGAGGTGTATTTCATGGGCCTGATTGACATGCTGACACAGTACGACACAAAGAAGAAGGCTGCTCACGCTGCCAAGGCTGTCAAACACGGGGTGAGAGGTTTAAACGGATTGGTTGGCATATTCTGTCTTTACATGTCTATCCTGTGAAGTGTTAAGGTTTGCTTTCATGTTTATTCACATATCTTTAATAGACTGTGTCTGTGTGTGTTTTTATTTATGCAGGCAGGAGCAGAAATCTCCACAGTTCATCCAGAGCAGTACGCTAAACGTTTCCGGGAGTTTATCACTAAGATCTTTGCTTAGTTCAAAGATTCAGTAGACTCCCGTCCTCATGTTATACAACAGGAGTCTCACTATGCAATACTTATGCCATCTAGAATCAAATGAAGACACACTGAACTTGTATTGTTAATTTTTACATTATCTACATATCTTTTACCCTTAATATCACCCTGAACTGAAATATGGACTGTGCATTCATTTTGAATGAAGATCAGGCTTTGCATTCAGGAGTAAATGTCTTCTTGGCATCTGGTCTTTTTTAATGGGTTTTCTTTTGTTTTCATTTGTTGGCAATACTCCAGCCCCCCCCACAGAAGAAAAGCTGAGATGATGATAAAACATATTTTCTCAACGCAATAATTGTGGCAATTCTCTTTTGCTGCTGCTCGGGAAAAGTTTGTACATTTTGTTGTTGATTATTAATTTATGTCTGCCTATTTTTTCTACTAGTGACAACACATTGCAACACAAGAATAATTTGGGCAAATATACATAGTCTGAATTGGGAACAATGCATTATTCATCTCATTGTCAGCACCAATGTGTGATTGAAGCTTGTAATAAACAATGTTATCTCACTGAAATGTTGCCATAATGCAAAATTAAAATGAATAGCACTAAAACAATGATTTAAAGAACTGCCAGCTGTTGAACATTGCCTAATACTGACAGCTTTTTTAAAGAATTACCATTGTATGATATTTAGCAGTCTCGCAAAGCCAATCCATTGGAAATGTTGTTTATCATTGATGTATTCTAAATTATGATTTGATGTGCTATGTTCACAAAAAGTAAACAAACATGTCATATGGCAAATTCATAAGGGTTTATCATCTATTTATCACATCAGTAAAACAAAATGCACCACTGCCATTTTTGGTGAATAAATTGGTTAAAAATAATCTGCTGCTTTATTAGCTTTTCTTTTTAATTACTGATTTTAAATGCCATTTTCTTAATCTCTTTCATTTTTTGTAAAGCACTTTGAATTGCCTTGTGTTGAAAAGTGCTATATAAATAAACTTGCCTTGCCTTGCTGAAGATTTAAATAAAAGAGGTTGAATGCCTATGTTTTGAAAGCCTGCAACTGAAAATAGTTACTTGCACAGCTCCAGTAGTGCTGAGGGCAACGCTCCTCTCCTCTCTGTGTTAAGTATGTATTGTGTGACATAGCAGTGCAATGCTTCAGTGGAAGACACAGCCTTGCATCATCTGAAAGGCATCGTAGCACACAAATTATTAAGCTGTAAATTGATCAAAGGGCTTTTGCCAAATCGTGTTGCTTAGATCTTACGTTGTATTTGTTATTTCACCTTTGAATGCAATGAACAATTTAACAAGAAAATGTACCCACATGAGTAAAGGATAAAAGGAATCACAAACTTCGTATTTGTAAAAGAGAAGGCAAGTTAAAGCTCATTGTGAATCATGGCAGTACATGTATTCCTCTGAAATGTATTCTCGGAGGCAAAGCATTCATTTGTGTCCTTATTTAGTCCCTCTGCCCTGTCCCAGTCCTCCTGGCACACATTCGCTCACAGTCTCCTTCTGAGATTATCTGAAGGTTTCACTTTTAATAAGTGAGTGGACAAACATGGCACCAAAAGGCTCAAGGCTTAAGCAGTGATAACAAACTAAGTTCTAGATTCATTTTTGACAGTAGTCAAACTCACCCTAAACCAGCAAACAGGCAGCAGTTTTGCCCTTCATGGCTCATGACGTCTTAGTTTTATTTTACAGAAACCTTGTCTCCAACTATTTCTGTAATATCTGCAGTACAATATTCACACGTTAAGTCCAAGTAACTTTCTGTCCGAACACATTTGACACTTTGAATTATTGTCTAAGCTGAAGTCAGCTACTACTCGAGAGAACATTGTCTCAGCAATTTACAGCCCATATATTGTGTAATACATTTATATTTGCAGTGCTTTTAGATCCTGTCCCTCCTCCGAAACTGCTTAGTATGGATTCAGATTTCACACGGGTGCTGCTATTACTGGATTTTCACTGCAGTTGTCCACACTATTCATTCATTGATCATACTCCTTGACCAATTCAATAACACATTTATCATCTCGGTCCTCTCACATGGTGAACATCCTTCCTATCTGAATCCTTTAACACTGCATTAATATTTTCTGATGTGAATTCTGGAGGACCTCAGGGCTCTGTTCTTGGCCCCTTTGCCTTTCTCTCGTTATAATCTGCCTCACAATAATACAGTCATCGAATCACATGTTGCTGTGTGTGTCAGTAAAAGGCGGTTAAGTTATCAGATTTGTGTGTTTCCTTTCTTTCCGTTTGGTACTTTCAGTTCAATAAACCATAAGCAACTGACATTGTATTTTTGGGATTCTTCATGATGTATCCCAACCAAATACTTTTGGGATATTTTAATATAGTTCCTGACAATCAACATATACTGTTATGTATTTCATTATTCTACAGTGTAAGCATTCCCATGTTTTGACACCTTAGTTTTTGTATGTGTTTTTACCTGTGAATCCACAAAACTGAAACTATCCATCATGGTCTAAAATGAGTTCATCGCAACGACCTAGAAAGAAGTAGGTCAAAGCCTGCAGAGGCCTTTATCATGAACTGGTTTGACCCAGAATATCTCACCATCAAATGCTTGTCGACTTTTAAGTGTTGGCCGCTCGCTGCTGTCAAGAAATCAGCTCTCAACAGGAGCTGTTTGAAACACAAACCGTCTGCACAGCAGCAAATGTGATGCAACTATACTGCATGATGTTCCTGCTTGCTAAAGTCTCTCTCACCCCTGTAAACGGCTGTTGTTGATTTGGACACAGCTAGAAACTGAGAAAATCCTAAAAAAAAAAAATCAGCTAGCCTTTTGAAGCCCAGACACAGAGAAAACACACAACTCTGTACCAAACACCACAGCTTGGGCAGAAGCCTTAGTGTATTGCTAATGAATGCTCTATGAATAATTGCATGAGTAAAAAAATACAAATGGAGAGATGCTTACATCACGGACATGTACACTCAGCTGAGTCTTTAGATCAACACAAAATTACATACAGTACTGCAGGAGGGTTGTTTTTTAAACATTTTTTTTTTAAACTGGGCAACATTCCTCTATTTCATGTGGATTTTCATCCACTTACAAATATATTCATAGACATCCAAAGTCCCAGTTGTATAGATCAGAACCTTTGCAGAGCTTGAATCTATTAAAACATACTTTCTATTAGTCACAGCTGGAATAATATTAGTTAATAAAAAAATGAAACACCCCAACAGTCCACCAATACTGCATCATCACTGTTTGAGATAATGAACTCATACCATCTGTTTTGTATACATTCAATCAAAATCAAGGCATTTACACATCTAGTATTACACTGGCCTTGATGATGACCTGCTGCTGGATTCATAATTCACACATCATGTACAGTGCTCATGTCACACACAGTGATACAAACATAACATAGACATCTCAGTCTTGGATGTCGAAGAGTTAATCAGGTGGTTGTTAAAGAAAAACCAAACCAAGACGCTGTACAGGATTTTTCTGAACAGCTATAAGTAATTCCTTTGAGTTTTTTACATTTGACACATAACCAACTGTACAAATCATACAATAACAATCTTGAAAATGAAGCACTTTTACATTTTCAGAATTCTATTTTTATCAATGCGTTTCTATACAGATATTTTAATTATCTATAAAGTGACCTCTCAGCCACAGTCAAGTTTATATATTTTTTACTCGGACAACATTTTAATTTTTTATTTAACGACTGGCTGTGTTTAGCATAACACAGTATATGCACTCTGAATTTAAAAGTGACATTCTTTGTTAATAAAGTTAAGAAGTGTTCATGTGTTTAGCGTTAACTTCTGTCTATGAAATCGTAAACTTATTGCAGTTCTTTACTTCTGGGCCCGAGATGCTCAGATAAGCTGTTTGAGCCAAAGGCAAATTCCCATTCTTAACTGAGCGGAGAATAAGGTTGAATATCGACTGCATGATGAAATATGAATCATACCGGCTGGTACACAGTGCAATACATTCCTAATGAGGCATCTGAATGTAACGTCATGTCCTTTTATCTTATGTAGAAAGTGTAGTAAGGAAAATGTATCTTTTTGTTTTGGTTAAATCATTCTAGTAGCCTCATGTGACTGTGTTATTACCAGTGTGTTTTCATCCCTGACATACACACACACAGCCTTTAAAACATCAGGAAGTGCAACATCTGGCAACATGTTCATCAGTCCTGTAGGCCTGTGTGAAGGTACAGGACCGTATGAGGGCAAACTACACACACACACACACACACACACACACACACACACACACACACACACACACACATTGACCACACCACACAGTTTACGACACTGCTCTTCTAGAGGTACTGTAACTCAAGCTGGCGCCGCTGTTCTTGTGCGAGATCTTCAGTGTCGTAGCAACCGTCAGGCTCGGCGTCATGGCAACAGGGAAGCTGGGTGTGGCAGCTGCTGTAAAACCAACTGTTGTGGCGACAGTGAAGGAGGAGGCCGGTTCATTTGGGCATCCGTGCTGCAGTAAAATGTCGACACACTCCTGGCTGCCAGCACTGCGAGCCAGAACCAGAGCGGTGTGGCCCTGAGCATCCCGGTACCGGACATCAAAGCCGTACTGCAGTCAATCGAATAAAGAAGAGAAATCAATGGATTAGATTATGTTATGTTCTAAATATTAAAAGGTTTAATATGCGGCATTTTCCCTCAAATATATCATTGAAAAGTAATCCCTCTCAATCATAATTTATGGACAGACCCTCTGCCTGGACCTTCTCTTTTAGGGGTGTCAGCAAATTACTTTTAGGCCCCACGTGGGTGTGTAACCCCTGGCAAATGACGCAACTCATTCCATTTTAAGGTAGCAAAATTCCTCTTTGATGCACCTGCACCCTTTTCTGTCCATATGTTACGAAGCAGTGGTATTTGATTCAAGATCTTCAAGATTCAAGGCTTTATTGTCATGTGCACATTAGCTACAGTGTAGATATGGCATTGATAAACTTAGGTCACAGGCTCCTCCAACAGTGCAACATGAGTATATATAGGACATAGAACAAGTAAAACAGATAAAATAGTGCAAGAGAATGTTTTGAGATGTGCAAGTTAATACAAATAAAATAGAAATAGTTTGATGACCTGGATTGAGAACGGGCTGGTATTACGCTGTGTGTTTTATGACCCCTCCTTCCCCCATCCCCTGGGTGTGCTTCCACTGCTTTCATTCAAAATCCGGTACCCAATGGGTGTGGGTGTGTTTGTTTGTGTTTAACAATATGCCATGCAACAATCAGAATTTGGCTTTTATTTTTTCTGATTTGCTGCTGTGTTCTTGTTGACGTCTCTCCATCTCTTCATTCACACAGTTAGCTCAGCTAACGCTGCTCTTTCTCTCTCTGTGGTTAACTTACATTTGAGTGTTTGTAAACATCAACCAACAAAATAAATATATTATATCTTTAAGGAAGTTTTATCTGTGGAATAAATTCCAACTTCA